CACCTCATAATTATAATATATGTAGTATCATAAGTCTTATAAATATATAGTCTTTCTCGATATATACACATAATCTATGTATATTTCATCTCATGTTTTAACAATCCCATAAGTAGGTTTACAGATACTATTATTATCTCCATGTTACAGAGGGGGAAATGAGTAACTTGCACAAGGTCGCACAGGCAGTTGAGTGGAGGAGCTGGATTAGAACCAGAGTATATGCCTGTGAAGGGCCGGGATTGTGCTGGGTGCTGCCTCCACCCACGGCAGTAAATTAGCAGCTCCTGGGGCTAAAGTGAGAAGGAAAGAGAAGGGATCCTGAACTATTAGATTTCCAGTCACTGGGCAGGTAATGTGATCACAGCCCACCGGTGTGAAGGAGGAGAGCATGTGGACATGCCGTCCCCTGTGACTGCCGTAGGGGCAGAGGCACTGAGGACATACTCTAGGATATACAGGGTGGTCCCAGGCTACCCACAGGCCTGTGTCTTCGGCAAGGACCTTCCTTTCCCCATCAAATTCTTCAGGCAGGATTCTGGGCTTGAGTTATTTCTCCCCACTAAACCCATGGGATATTGTCCAAAGTTTAGAGCTAGGGCAAACCTTGGAGGCATTCATACTTATGATGCTAGAGGGTTTCAGGGCTATGCTGTGAAGCAAGCATGTCAAACTCGCAGCCCGCGGGCCGCATGCCCCGCTTATTTGGCCCGTGTTAGCCTTTGAATTGGACATGCTTGATGTAAAGGAATTAGAGTGCTGGGGGTGGGGCGAGAGGTCCAGGGCAGACAGACCACACCGAACCCTCCACTGACAGACCTGATCCTGCTGGGAGGAGGAAGACCTCAGACCCTCAGAATGATGCTCTTAGACTCTCGGCAAAGGGAACAGAATTTATTTTGTCATTTAATAAAATATTGCCCATCCCACCTCCTCTCTCACTAAAACCCAAAGGCAAAAATGTTAGTAACAGTTTGTTTTTAAAACCTAGATATAAAAATCGAAAGAAAAAACCCCTTAAGTAGAGGTTCCTTTTCCTGCCACCGAAAAGGTTTTCGGCTCTGCCAATGTTCACCAGAAATTGTGGTTCCGAAAGCTCCCGTCTCCAACCCTTCTTCTCACTGAAGACAACGCCTGGGGTTCCCCGTCCCATGAGCCCCCCAGAACTGACCTGGGCCCGGCGGGTCACCTGCCAATGTCCATGAAACTACAGGGGGAGGAAGGAGGCCCACCTTGCCCATCGCAAAACAGATAGATGTTCGCACAAATAATATCTCAACTTCACAGCAAACAAGTCTGCAGGTGCTATTAGGTCTGCCGCTCGGCTAAATGGGGTGTCTTGTGGGGGGACGTGCACCTGACACACAGCACTCCCTCTTCTAAGCACTTTATAGGTGGCCACACATTCCATTTCCATGGCTCCCGAGTGCGCACCGGATTCCCCCATTATACAACAACGCCCACACTGGCAGGTTAGCAGCTTGCTCAAGGTCACCCAGTGATGGCGAACCTTTTGAGCTCCGCGTGTCAGCATTTTGAAAAACCCTAACTTAACTCTGGTGCCGTGTCACATAGAAATTTTTTGATATTTGCAACCATAGTAAAACAAAGACTTATATTTTTGATGTTTATTTTATATATTTAAATGCCATTTAACAAAGAAAAATCAACCAAAAAAATGAGTTCACGTGACACCTCTGACACGTGTCATAGGTTCGCCATCACAGCAGCTGAGCTGGGATTTGAATCCAGGAGTCCTCAGATAATAATAATAAAATAATAATAATTAATAACCATAATAGCAGCTATCATTTTTTGATCCCTTACTCTTTCCCCAGGCATCCTACTGAACTCTTTTTACACATTACATCCTTGAATCCTCACTATAATTATATAAAGTACTAACAAGTACTATCCCCACTGCACAGAGGAGGAAACAGGTGCACAGAGGTAGGAAAGATTCCTTAAAATTCCAGGGTCTTTCCGTAACCGGTTTGGTTCAGTGGATAGAGCGTCGGCCTGCGGACTGAAAGGTCCCAGGTTCGATTCCGGTCAAGGGCATGTACTTTGGTTGCGGGCACATCCCCAGTAGGAGGTGTGCAGGAGGTAGCTGATCGATGTTTCTAACTCTCTCTCTCTTTTCCTCTCTGTAAAAAATCAATAAAATATATATTTAAAAAAAAATTCCAGGGTCCTAGCTCAAGACGGTGACTCCCGCCCACTCCAGGCATTGTCCTGCGGCCCACGGACAGCCAGGGCTGAGCCCCGGGAGAGAATTAACAACCCGCTACACTGAGGGTTTGCTTCTCTCTGCAACCACAGCCACCCCAGAGAAGACGCTACCGAGGGCGAGAGGAGCAGCGCGGCAGGTCTGCGCGTCTCTCCGGGACCGGGAAGAGGCTGCGCAGGTGCAGGGAGAGAGGCGAGGCGCCGCCCCGGACCCCGGCGCCGTTTCTGAGCGGCTCAGAGACCCCTCTCCTTAGCTGTGTGCTCCGGGCACAGCACAGGCAGACGCCAGGGAGCTGGACCCCCACTGACCTGCGACGGTCAGCATCCCGGCCACCAGG